GACTGCCAGCCAATAATGCATGCTGGCCAACAGCATCCTGAACTTGGCATAAATGCGTCTAATGATGCGCTTGCTCCATGCTTTCTAAGGACTGTCCCCTAGCACTCGCTGGTCCACTTGTCTCCTTACCTTCTTACTAGCAGGCAGAAGCTCCTGGTATACAGTCTGAAACAGAGAAAAGGTGGATGTAGTGAGTGTAGAAGAAAGGGAACATGCCACAGTGTCAGAAACCAAAGTCAGCATTACCTAAACTAATTTCATTTCAGCTAGTCCACATAAGTTTTGTTTCCATATATCCCTCTTAAGTTTCCATACTTAAGTAAGAGTATGTGAAGAGTAGTTAGGGTTGTCATCTTTCTTGGAAAAAAATACAGGCCTTACGAATTATGTATGCCTGACATCACATGAAGTCACAAGGAGTGACATAAGAGAAAATTCTGTAAAATCACCCAAAAAGCTACTTACAGTTTGATTCTGCTGTATAGATGGATTGCTCCCAGTGTTCCCATGTCACCCAGTGTCCCCATGTCACCCAGTGTCCCCTAGTCTGTATCCCCATGTCACTAGGGGACACTGAGACATGGAGACACAGATACACTTGGGGACACTGGGAGACTTGAGGACACCGAGACTATGTATTACAGTGTCTCAGTGCCCCATGTCTCCCAGTGCCCCATGTCTCTGTGTCCCCATGTTGCCCAGTGTCCCCTAGTATCCCCATGTCACTAGGGGACACTGAGAAACATGGGAACACAGAGACATAAGGACACTGGGAGATATGTCTCCATGTCTCAGTGTTCCCATATGTGTGTTTCCTCATGTCTCAGTGTCCCCATATGTGTCTGTTTCCCCGTGTCTCAGTGTCCCCATGTGTGTCTGTGTCAACAAGTCTCCCAGCATCCCCTAGTGTGTTTCCCCAGTTCTCAGTGTCCCCTAGTGTCTGTGTCCCCTGGTGTCTCGGCATCCCCAGAGGTCTCCCTGTATCCCCATGTCTTACAGTATTCTCTAGTGTCTCAGTGTCCCCATGTCTCCCTTCAGCCTTTACCCCATCCCTCACTTCCCTGAGCTGTAGTCTGTCTCTGCAGGCTGGGAGCTACTGCCTGGTCTCTCTGTGCTGTGTAGCTGCTCCCCCGCTGACCAGTGAGTAGAGAGAGGCAGGGAGAAGCTGTAATTTCCTATCCCTGCCTCTTGCCACACACACACAGCAACCCCAACTGGCCGGTGCTGGTATTGCAGAGTAATCTCTGTTTATACTGAGAAAAATACCAGCATTTGCATTGCCGGTATTACTGCAATATCGTCACCGGCCAGGTGGCATTAAATAAATACCAGCCAGGTGGCAACCCTAAGAGTAGTTTATTTTTAAAATCAATTGGCCCATTCCATGGGCATGGAGCTGCAGCTCCATCAGCCCCTATGTTAATCCGGCCCTGACACACTGTCTATTTTACATGTAGTTATTTTAAATAAATAAGAAGAAGAAACTTAAGGCAGCTTTCCTTTACCTGACATTTCTGATAAAACATCCCCCTTGGAAAAACCAACAGACAGATTATAAACGTCCTTATATCCCGCTAAAACACCAAAGAATTTCTGAATAAAAGATTTATAAAAAGCTGCGCCAAAAAACAACAAGCTGTATAGATAGAAAACAATCTGCCTGTCAGATCGCGCTGTTTTACTTTATAGTATTTTAGCACAGACCATTTTTAACCTTTTAATGCTTCATTTTGTATGTAGGTTGGTGGGATCCCGTATTGGGGGGGTTTTGTAGACATTACATTTCTAAAGAAACATATTTGGACCTGCATGCCCTGGTATTGGAGCAAGCGCAACGATGGATGGCGTTAGATGGCGATGATAAGGATGAAGGTGATGAAGGATGGAACCGACCAGTTAGATATCCAGACGCAGCTCCATGTTTGGTGCAGCATCATTATATGACATAATTATACATTTTAAATCGAAAAATCTCGACTTAGAATCAACCATGGGATTTAACGAAGTAAAACACGAGCGTGCTGTTTTTGTAGGAAGGCAGTTAGAACACGACGAGTTTTAAGGCAACAACATTTTCTGCAGTTTTAAGGCAACAACATTTTAATAAAATGCAGGGATTGAAGACAGTATGATACATAATTAGAATAACTGGTACACAATTAAAGGGGAGCCCTAGCTGTTAGCCTATAATTTGTCCAGATTGCTTTATGCAAAGTGCACTGTGAGATGGTCAGTGAGCTGACAATCTAAAGGAGATCATGGGAAAGGAGGAAAATGTAGCACAAATTAACCTGCAAAAATCAAGAAATAATAATATCAGACTGAGGCTAATATAGTGAAAACATTGAATAAATCTCACTATTAGAGTCAATCTGGCACTTTTCAGGAAATGACAGAAACGGATAGACGGCGTGGAGGGGAGAGCTTTTATCTGATGATAAAATATTTGACAGGGTTTATTCACTCAACATCAAATTGTAGTGAATTTACAACGGAAATGTTAAAAAAAAAAGCTACTTTGGAAACAAAAATTCCCCAACCCGAATACAGGCACAGGTAAATTATTTTTGCCTAAATTTCGCAGATCATTTTCAGCATTTAGTTAATAAAGCCAGCATTTGTATTTGACAAAAAGGAAATATCTCATGGCATCCAGCTTTGATAAACTAATGTATACGCATTGGACTGCCTGCCGAATACACAACTCCGTATTATAAATAGGAATGTGGAATAAAACAGAATATAGATCTGAAACTCTTTGATGAAGGTTGCACTGCTATATGCATCATACACGTTAGCCCCCCCTCCCGCGCTCAGGAGGCATCAAAGCAGGAACGAAGGCAGAGAGTTACTGACCCTCCCGGGAGGTCTCTCCTGTCGTGTTCCACCATCTAAATGACAAAA